AATGATAATAATAATAAAAAATACATAAAATCAAGTAAAATGAAATGAGAATATGATAATCAGACAGGTAATACCACAGATTATATAATGGGCAGTTTTCCCATTTGTTTAAGAAATCCGTGCACTTTTTTCTGCCTATTCAAGATACCACAACCATGCAATATGATATGTTACAAAATAAGACGGTGGATATCTGTCTGTCCAGATGAATATCATGGATGCACATTTTTTTCCCATGTATTTACATTAATCTTTACCATCTCTCTCTCTCTCTCTCTCTCTCTCTCTCTCTCTCTCTCTGGTCAGTCTGATTCACAACACCATTATAAAATAGTGAGTAATATGTTGAAATGACTGTCAAGATGGTTATCTGGAGAAGGATATGTGCATCTGGCTGTGAAGAGTGTTGACTCGCATGTGGGGCCAGTATTTTTTTGCTTGCTTGTAATAAACCATACCTTCATGGTGGTGATGTATTAATACAGAAGTTTACCTCAGGTTACACCAAGAAAAATCACCAACCTTTTGACCAGCTGTCGGCCCAGCGGGACTGGCTGGCGACTCTAGAACCGCATTCACACTGGGGCTAATTTGACTGGTCAGTTGGCCAAACTTGTGTCCTTTGAGGATTAGATAACTTTTGAGACAGGGCTGGATTTTGATGTTTGGTGCTTTTGTGGCAAGTTTTAAGTATTTGGCAGGTTTCCAGGTTTTCTCTGATGCAAAAGCAGTCCACTATTTATTCAGTAATTGAAACTCTAAAACATTTTTCTTTTAGAAACAAGACAAAACATTTCAAACCAGTTTTGATTTAGGATGGATTATGGACACAAAAGATACTTTAAGCATTTCAGTCTTAATATAGCCATTGTGAACAATTTGAAAATACGTAGTAATAGTGTAATACCCATAGGAGAAGCCCTGTACCTTACATGACTAAAATGACTCAAAGATTAATCATTTTCCCCCTAAAAAAGACTGAGTAATTACAGTAAATAAAATTAAGTAAAATGAAAACCATACAAATATTTTATTGCACAAATTATCATTTAGCTAAAAAACGTTTAAAAATTTTTTTTGTTTGGTAGTGGTTTTATGAATGCACGAGTCAGCATCTGCTTCTAATTGCTTCTAGCCGAATTTGAAATTTTAATGGGAGCATTCAATAATAATTATATTGAAGTCACTTAGTAAGTGAAAGCGAAGCGAATGTTTCCAGAAATAGCATCTATGACAATACAAATATGTGGTGCCAAGACAGTCCCTGGGCTTGGGCTTTTAAGAGGATTTCACCTCAAACACATTCTAACTACCCAAACCCAAACCAACACAATCGTTTCTGCTTTATGGAAAATAGACCATCAAGAAAGCTGTCAGATTAATTTATGGATTGTGAGCCAATTTTATCACTTTCTTGCCAATCTAGAAGGTTTAATTCCTCTACGCCCTCCCCTTTTATCTAACTGTTTTGAAGAGTTTAAGAACAGTTCTGAATTGAGTCTCAATGTAGAAAATGTCATTTTCCAGCACTGGAGCCCACAACAATACATATTATATATATCAGACCGTCATTTTGTGGTGGGGGCAATTTATACCAGTCAATCTCTACAGTATCATTTTAGCGTTTGTTAAGAAAACAAACATTGAAAAGTAGCCGCTTTTCAGCCCTGACTTTGATTAAATCATTGATATTGGATTTCCAACACTGGGAGAAAAACATCTTTAGGCTACATTGGTCATTTGCTGTCTGCTGTTCAACCACTCAGCGACCATTTTATTGACTGAGTCTGTATAGATGTGTTATATTGATACTTAATGGCTTATTGGAGTTTTTCGAAAATGTTTTGTTCGGGGAACAGCGTTGTTGTTACGCATGCTTTCAGTAAGTGTGGGTGCTGTTGATTGCATAACATCATGCATAATACCAACGGAATGTGCATGGTCTTTTGATCAACTTTTGGCTAATTGTCGCTGAAATGTAATCATCAATAAATTGGTTCCAGTCCATAAGTTGAAAATTTGGATGAAGCTGAGTGAAATACTGTCCAAGATGGTTACTAGTCAATAACCTATTCAACAGGAATCTTGTCCTGTTGGAAATTGTGTTCTAAAACAAAAGTCCAAGATTTTTCAGTATGTTTAGCAGCTATATTATACTGTTTTAGTCTGTTGATGTGATGTGATGGCACTATAAAGTTGGATAAGTCTCTTTTGTAAAAAATTCTGAAAAAAAGTTTTTCTAGCATCGCTTAACATTCCTGAATAGATGAAAGTACTAAACTAGCCTAAGTATGGCATTTATGTATAATTATTGCAGCTTATTTTGATTTTAGTCAGACTCTTTTCCCACCCTTCCCTCGGTGAGATTGAAAGGATATTCTATTAGGTGCTCTTATAGATATATTTCTTTATTACTGGGGATCTACTCTCCCCCCCCCCCTCCCCCCCGCTTGGTTTGGGTGCTGCCATCCTTTCTGTTCAATTGTTGGAGATGAGATTCAGATGATCAGATGGGTCATTGGATAAAGACTTTGCGTGACATCTATGACCGAGGTCTATGACATCTGTACTAGAAATGCGGTGTGCGTAGTCAATATACACGCCAATCTGTAGAATGTACAACTGTGTTAAATGACAACTGGCAATGGCAATAAAATCAATACCAAGTGGTTTTCGTTTTAATGAAACTGTCTAGCTTCTTCAAAGATGTCTAGTCTTTTGATATGGGCAAGAAAATGGAGTTGTAATCTTGAATGGCCAATTTATTTCACTTGGGATTTAGAGGGCTGGTGTACAGCAGGGACAGACTGCATAAAGGGATCTTAAGGAGCAAAGGGCAGGGGCTGAAAAGATGAGAGAGAGAGAGAGAAAGATAGAGAGAGAGAGAGAGAGAGCATGAAGAAAAAAGGGTACTTTTTGCTTCTGTTGGAGTCGATTCAGATGTGGAGAAGCATTGTGACTTCTTCCTTTCAAACAAGTGGTGAAAACATCATGCACCAATGATGTATCACTCTAACATTGCTGGCTGAGTAAGGAATGCAATTATCTCCTCATATTGGTCTTCTTTTATGTATAATTTATTATTTTTGCATTATGTCATGTCAGTGTAGTATCAGAAACAAGAAGGTATTCTGGGCCTCTATGAGATATGAAACCAGTCATGGAAATTATCTTTGACTTGCAAGTCCCAATGTTGACATTTTTCTTGGGACTTGTTTTACACCTTTTTTTTTTCATGTTTGAGCTTGCTTGTCTACATATTAATCCTACCAGCTGTGTTTTGCAGAAGGAGCTATTTTTCCAGTGGAAAGCTTGTTTTTTGTTCCAGCCATCTTCAATATTACAGTGCAACTTAGTCTCTTGGGAATTATTTTATATATTTATTTTTTCATAGTACGTTCTACTGGTAACACCCCCTTAAACATAAATGTATACACGCACGAAGAATCAAAACCTATTCAGAATTAAATTTGAGGCCCATTAAGGAGCGTAATTAAATTACCAATTTTCAAAGTGAAATCTACAGTCAAATAGATCATTATAAAGATATGGGTTGTGGTGAAACTAAAAAATATTCCGCAACTTTTGAGACTTCCCCCCATGGCCCTGTGTTACCAGACCCCTGTGGTCCATTATGGCTGCTTAGATTACATCAGGGTGAGATAATCAACACAAGTCCAGCGCTTGATTTAGTCCATCTTCGTAAACCGAGCCCCAAGTAAGCTGATCAAATTGTAAGGTACACCTGTGCGCAAGAGGAAGGCATTCTTCCACCATTACAAAGAGAACCAGGGGCTGCATTGTTCCTAATCATAGAGCGGTGGGCTTCCCTGTGCTTTTCACTGTAGTCAGATTAGATTAAATTGCAGGAGATGGAATTGCGTAACTCTTGTCTCTCGATGGACATTATTAGGTTGCATGGTGGGATGGTTGCCAAGGCAACCTGGGTCTCGGTGCAGGGTTTGCTTTTGGGATTTAGTTTCTTTGAATTTGAGGGCTTATTAGCTTTTTTCCCCCAAACCAATGATATGGTTTGGCAAAATGAATTTGAATTGACAGTGATTCAACAAATTGAAGATAAACCAGTTATTATATAGGGAAAGTGAAGTTCATTATTTTTTCCTTTCCCATATTTTTCTCAATAAGATAATGTATTTCATCCATTGCTGTTCACTGCTGTCTTTCTATTATAATGTTAACACCTTTGTTGTTCCCCTTCATACAGGATGTATGCTTATATTTAAAACTAATGAAATCAAATCATTTGACCAGGTCAGTGAAAAATGTCTTTGGTGTGGCTGCATTGGTTTTATTTTTGGTCATTGCAGAAGGTATTTATAAAGACATGATTCCGTCTTTGCTAGTGCTCAGAGGGAGTGGGAATGAGTGCATGTATAAATATACTTTTATTGATCTCAGGGTCTCATTGTGGGGAGATAAGATGACATGGGACTTGGCCGATTTGAGAGAGACAGATGGAAACCACTTATCTTGTTTCTTAAAGATGTATTTTCAACTGATTCAGAAGTCGGTTGTCTGTAAAAGAGTCGGCCCACACAGAGCAGGGAGTTTATATAAATTTTCCCTGTCTAAGGAATTATTGGTTTTTAAATGAAAATGGTCATATATAGTATGGTGCATGTGTTTGTTAATTTTTTTTTCAAGTGAAAAATCCGAAATGAATCGTTTTTAGTGTACTAAATATTGCACTCGTACAATTGATGAAGAAATATCACAAGATACACTTCTTTAGTTTTCCCAGTTCGTGGTGGATTTTTGGAGCAATGAATAAAACCTCACATGTTTTGTGGCACACACAGATGTTATTTTTCTGACTATCGGCAGATTCCCCAATTTTTTGGGAGCCAAAAATATCATTGGCCAAGGTGCTCCCTTAGACACCACTCCATATTATCCAACTTGTCCACTAAATGGCATCCCTGGGGGAAAAAAACTTAGGAAGAAAAATCATCTTATTTAAAAAACTAATTCAATTTCAGGATCAAATGGCAAGTCACAGCTAGCTGGTTTCTATAGTAACCATTACCCTGGTTCCCAAGACAATCCAGCCAACCCATCCAGTCAAGCGTCCATGCCAAACAGCCCTGATATGTCCGTATCCACAGGGTACCAGCACATGTTCCCAAGCGTTCCCACAGGTTAGTGACTGAATTGATGTGTGTGTGTGTGTGTGTGTGTGTGTGTGTGTGTGTGTGTGTGTGAAAGAGAGAGAGAGAAAGTCTGAAATGATGTGTGTGAGAGAGAGAGAGAGAGAGTGTCTAAAATGATGACACAGTGAGAGAGAGTGTATGTGTGTTAACCTGCACTGTATCCCCCTGTCACAATCAGTTGGCATTCCCAGTGTGATGTGGATATCGGAAGAAGTCTTCTCTAATGCACTTACATATTTAACATCAGGCTATGAGATTTTGAATTGAATTTGGTACTTGATTGTGGGTACATCTCGGGGTATTTTGACATTTCTTACACCTAGTATATTTTGTCTGTAGCTGTTACTGCAAATATAATGTTTATTGATTTGATTAAAAAAAAACATGTTGGCAGTCCCTTTTGTAATATAAAGGGAGATTGATATAGACTTGTAATCCTTCTAAATACAAATTAAATGCCTGCTCTTCCTTATTCACTCCCCTTCCCACACGAACAGAAGAATCAAACAATTAAACATCCACATTGTTGATTCCAGGAAATCCTGATGACCCTAAAGACATGGGAGCCGCAGCAGCCTCGCTAGCAAAGCCAGTCCCCATGAGACGGTTGTCGGAAAAACGCATTGCACAGGCACGGGCGCACCTCATGGGTCCTATGGCTGACTACCTCCTCGATCCCAGCTATGGTGGTAAGATACGGATATATATTAGTTTACCTCCATAAAATAAACTTGTGAAAAGCAGTGATTGCGAAAGAGATTGAAAACTTACCAGACATGTGGGCTGGAGCAAATTAAATTTTGTCAGCCCACACCTTTTTTTTACCGGCCCACAACAAAATAATTAAGCTGTTTATTTTCACTTCATTTTTGATGAATATTATTGTCTGGCATTTTAAATCGCTGCTTTTTAATTTTCAGGCCAGATGTAATAGGATATTTAAAGGTTTAAGTTTAAACGTCTTTCATTTTGGTTGCTTTCTTGCNGGGAGCCCCAAGTAAGCTGATCAAATTGTAAGGTACACCTGTGCTCAAGAGGAAGGCATTCTTCCACCATTACAAAGAGAACCAGGGGCTGCATTGTTCCTAATCATAGAGCGGTGGGCTTCCCTGTGCTTTTCACTGTAGTCAGATTAGATTAAATTGCAGGAGATGGAATTGCGTAACTCTTGTCTCTCGATGGACATTATTAGGTTGCATGGTGGGATGGTTGCCAAGGCAACCTGGGTCTCGGTGCAGGGTTTGCTTTTGGGATTTAGTTTCTTTGAATTTGAGGGCTTATTAGCTTTTTTTTCCCCAAACCAATGATATGGTTTGGCAAAATGAATTTGAATTGACAATGATTCAACTAATTGAAGATAAACCAGTTATTATATAGGGAAAGTGAAGTTCATTATTTTTTCCTTTCCCATATTTTTCTCAATAAGATAATGTATTTCATCCATTGCTGTTCACCGCTGTCTTTCTACTGTCTTTACCAAAGATACTTTTGCCAATTATAATGTTAACACCTTTGTTGTTCCTCTTCATACAGGATGTATGGTTATATTTAAAACTAATGAAATCAAATCATTTGACCAGGTCAGTGAAAAATGTCTTTGGTGTGGCTGCATTGGTTTTATTTCTGGTCATTGCAGAAGGTTTTTATAAAGACATGATTCCATCTTAGCTAGTGCTCAGAGGGAGTGGGAATGAGTGCATGTATAAATATACTTTTATTGATCTCAGGGTCTCATTGTGGGGAGATAAGATGACATGGGACTTGGCCGATTTGAGAGAGACAGATGGAGACCACTTATCTTGTTTCTTAAAGACGTATTTTCAACTGATTCAGAAGTCGGTTGTCTGTAAAAGAGTCGGCCCACACAGAGCAGGGAGTTTATATAAATTTTCCCTGTCTAAGGAAATTATTGGTTTTTTAATGAAAATGGTCATAGTATGGTGCATGTGTTTGTTAATTTTTTTTTCAAGTGAAAAATCCGAAATGAATCGTTTTTAGTGTACTAAATATTGCACTCTTACAATTGATGAAGAAATATCACAAGATACACTTCTTTAGTTTTCCCAGTTCGTGGTGGATTTTTGGAGCAATGAATAAAACCTCACATGTTTTGGGGCACACACAGATGTTATTTTTCTGACTATCGGCAGATTTCCGAATTTTTTTGGGAACCAAAAATATCATTGGCCAAGGTGCTCCCTTAGACATCACTCCATATTATCCAACTTGTCCACTAAATGGCATTCCTGGGAAAAAAAAAACTTAAGAAGAAAAATCATCTTATTTAAAAAACTAATTCAATTTCAGGATCAAATGGCAAGTCACAGCTAGCTGGTTTCTATAGTAACCATTACCCTGGTTCCCAAGACAATCCAGCCAACCCATCCAGTCAAGCGTCCATGCCAAACAGCCCTGATATGTCCGTATCCACAGGGTACCAGCACATGTTCCCAAGCGTTCCCACAGGTTAGTGACTGAATTGATGTGTGTGTGTGTGTGTGTGTGTGTGTGTGAGAGAGAGAGAGAGAGAGAGAAAGTCTGAAATGGTGTGTGTGTATGTGTGTGAGAGAGAGAGAGAGTGTCTGAAATGATGACACAGTGAGAGAGAGTGTATGTGTGTTAACCTGCACTGTATCCCCCTGTCACAATCGGTTGGCATTCCCAGTGTGATGTGGATATCAGAAGAAGTCTCCTCTAATGCACTTACATATTTAACATCAGGCTATGAGATTTTGAATTGAATTTGGTACTTGATTGTGGGTACATCTCGGGGTATTTTGACATTTCTTACACCTAGTATATTTTGTCTGTAGCTGTTACTGCAAATATAATGTTTATTGATTTGATTAAAAAAAAACATGTTGGCAGTCCCTTGTGTGTGTGTGTGTGTGTGTGTGTGTGTGTGTGTGTATACTCTTTTCATTTGACAAATTATATTCACCTTTATAAAGTGAGTTTGATATAAACTTGTAATACCTCTAGATACAAATTAAATGCCTGCTCTTCCTTGTTCACTTCCCTTCCCACACGAGCAGAAGAATCAAACAATTAAACATCGACATTGTTGATTCCAGGAAATCCTGATGACCCGAAAGACATGGGAGCCGCAGCAGCCTCGCTAGCAAAGCCAGTCCCCATGAGACGGTTGTCGGAAAAACGCATCGCACAGGCACGGGCGCACCTCATGGGTCCTATGGCTGACTACCTCCTCGATCCCAGCTATGGTGGTAAGATACGGATATATATTAGTTTACCTCCATAAAATAAACTTGTGAAAAGATATTCACATCCATGCGATGCAATGAAAAATTTGCTAACATTTTGGCTGATGATAAGAAGTTACTGTTTGGCTAAAGATAAAAATGGATAGCTATTTTTAATTATAAAGAACTTGATTTATCTTAAATAGAGAGTACTACATTTTCAAGTAATACTCTTGAGTGACTAAAGAAATTGGATTATTGAAGTCAGTTTCTCATTGCAAAGTAAATTATACAATCAAATAAAACCCCTTTTAGCACTTATTGAATTGGATTGCATGGGCCAAGGATGTCGTTATTTTCACCAATTTTATTCCTGATTTGTTGAACATGATGTTGTTTTATTACTCATTTGTTGAAAAAAGAAGTTAGGCTTCAACCTAAAAAAAAAAACAACAACAACAACATGTTTTGGAACCAAACATTTTAATCGCTGGATAGCCTGTATTTATTAGATGAGCCTAGAGTCTGGTTGCCTGGCCGATCATTATTCGAACCCTCTTGAGACTCACATAATGGAATTGCACCAGTAAGAAAGGATTAACAACCGTTACCACGGTAATACATAAACTGAAGATGCCTGATTAAGGTGTGGTAATCGGTCGATGTGTTTTTATGTCCTGTGTATATTTGGTGTGATGTTTGCATGTAGTGGTTGGATTGAGCTTGTTTTTGTCATGCGATCAACCTGACCAAAACTGTGATCAATATGGTAATAATCCATACATTTTAAATGCCTAAAAAAAAAATCCACATCATTTCAGTCTTCTTATCATTATGGAATGGCATTGTTTTGGGAAATAAAATTAATCAGTTTATTCGAGTTTTGTGAGAAATTAGCATTTTCATGTATTTATTACCATTAATTGTAAAATGTACTTGTCAAATAACAAAATGCTGGATCTGTGGTTCATGGGTAAGTATTGAGTTTTAACCTATAGAAAAGAAAGATTATTGCTGTTAGCCCTTCACCGAACTTTACATATTTATTGCTAGAACAACATAATATAATTGCAGGTAAAAGTTTTCAAGGTTATACCTTCTTTCAGGATTTTCCGTCTTCATTTTGATCGTTTTTTCACATGGTCTAAGTGCAATGAAAATTTGCAAGTTCATTTGCAGGATTTCCAGTTTTTACAACTTTCACACATGCATTATAATAAGACATATGTAAAACGTGTTAACTAGCATACATTTGTCAACATATGGATACTTACACATATGACATGCTGACAAATGTGTCAAACATGCATTCCCTTAAATATCTGTATACATGAATATTACCTCCTGTAATTTTGGATGTGGCATATATATCATTATACGATATCTGTTTTCAATTATTCAGAACAACATATTAGCGTAACTCTTAGGTTTCGTGTGTCAACAGCAGCAGGCAACTTGCCACAATTTCTATGACCAATGATGGGACAGCACAAGATTAATAGATCTTTTGTGGTTAGATATTGTGATCACGTATAGTATACAGAGATGGTCATACTAAGTTAAAATGTTATAATTGAATGGAATAGCATGCCAGGTATATTTTGCAGGCTATGTTGATGTGATTTTTAACTGTCATTCTAGTCTACCGTTTTTTCATTGTAATGGGGATATCTCAAGTTAGGCCAAAGTTATGTGATTCAGCATTAAAAAGCAATGGGATTTTGTGGGATTTGGAGGAGAATGGGGTCAGAAACATTGACAGAACAGTAGTAACTGATACAACAGTAGGGGATTTGCATTTTAAGTCCAGGTTGCATATATGTGGTTCAAAAACAGTGTTTTGAGATATTTTATTGAGCAATATTTATTAATGCAAAAATTAAACATTAATAGTAAATTTACCAATGCTAATGTAGTGTTTAAGACCAGGGACTTGTAAAAAAAATGTGCCATATGACCGACATCTAGCTGATTTTTTTAGCTGCATTTTTAAAAAATATCATTGTGTCCACTGGGTTAACGTTCTCTGTGCATATCTATGAAAATTGTATGATGATGGCTTTTAGCGATTAGAGCTTTGACAGTGGGTTTTTGAAACATTAACCATGTTCCTTTGCATTATTGATGTGCAGCCCGTTTTCGCAATTGTTATGTGTGCATCATTTCATCGCACTGACAGAGAGAAAAATGAATTAAAAGAGAGAGCTATAGGAGAGCTATGTAATGGAGAGAATTAAGAGAGAGAAAATATTTGCTCAGGCTTTCATTGCTGTTTTTTTTTTTCTCTTTTGTACACTAATCACCAAATAGTCTGCTAGGTATGGAAATGGACAATAAACATGTGGAATATTGCCTGCAGTCACATAATTACAAAATGAATATAACCAAGGTGCTACGGAGTACAGAGTGTTACTAACATATATTGCCAGGGGGGCTTTTTGTACTGTTAGCTTGTAGTTTGTATTTTCATTAAAAGCCAAACTTTTAGTCTATTTTGACTCGATTAAGACAGTTCGGTAGCAGTTCACTTCGATGAATTATTTGGTCTGTTTTATAGCACAATAATAGCTAACATTTTAAACACACACACACACACACACACACACACACACACACACACGGTGAACTATATACTTAAAAGGGTGCACCACTATGTAATTACTAATGCTTAGACTAATTTGAAATAGATAAAAATTTTAGTCTGATGAAGTTCCTTTTTAGAAACCCTTTTTAGCCTCTTATCGTGTATCTAACTGAGCATGCTGTCTTTCGGGATGACTGCAGCATTGAATCTTTTTGTATGTGATCATCGTTTGTATGTGAAAATCGTGCAACAACCATTTAGTGCCCCCAGGATCTCGCAAAGTGAGTCAAGTCGCCTTGCCACCATGAGGTCTTGTCAATTACATCTGCGTTAAGAAGATGAAAAAGAAAGAAAATAGAAAACGAGCATGACACAAGATGTGATAGCTATGTAAATATTTGTGATATTAACTGTGAAAATGGTTTTTTTATAACTTTTTTAAGAATGTCGTTGCACTTGTATTACGTACAGGTATTTACTGCAACATTTGTGACCTTTTCAAAAAGAAAAAAAAAAAACCCTTAAGATCAGGGAAGGTGAAAAAACTTTCACTAACATGTCCTGATCATTTGTTTCAATTTAGTTCATATTTTGTAAAGAAAAATGATGAAGCAGCAAAATAATGCACCTGGGCACGATATGGATGAACAATAATAATCAATCAATCAGTCACCACTTTTGTTAATTCTGTATTTTATTGCAGCAGGTCCTGCACGTTGATAGATTATGATATATATAATGATGCCAGCAGTGTATTTATGCATCTTCATATAATGAAGTGTAGTTTATTCTGAAGTCCATAACCATCCCATCTGCCATTAATAATATGATGGTTGGTCAGTGCTACCTGGGGCTACCGAGGAGCTAATCCTAGGTTTTGAGTTTTGGGAATGAGTTTTGAGTTTTTGGGGATTTTTTTTAAAAAATGGAGCATCAAAATTGCGAGGATGCCAGTGAAAGAAATATTAATAATTCGGGAGACATCAGTGACTTAGACTGTTGGAGAAGTGTTTAGTCATCTGGAGAAGTGGTGAATTTTATTTGAAGTCATGAGACTTTATAGGAGGTTTTAAATAGTGTCCAGTATTATGTGAGAAGAGGATGGGAGGGGGAGGGGGGAGGGAGACCTCAATAGATGATGGCAAATATTGTGTCCAGTTGTGTGGATATCAAACAGAGAAAAATAGCATGTTGGAAGCAATGTCAACTGAAAGGGAATAATTTGATGGGGATTACACAATGGACAGTTATAAGGATTAAAGGAGCCACCAAAGGGAAAGTGAACATGGACAGGCAGTTAGGACCATGTTAATGAAATAGCTCAGGAAAAAAACATTCACTTCTGAGGCTGCTAAGGGTTAAAAGTAATTTGCTGGAAAGGAGAAAACCAGCTGGGGCTGAAGGAGTCCCTTGAATTACTGGAAATAACCAGCCTTTTGTCATGATGATCTGTAGGAGTTGGTTTTAAATGGGAAAAAGGCAAAAAAGGCATTGAGGTGATGTTAAAGAAAAGTAAAGAAAATATAGAAAAAAATATTTAAATAAGCACCCAAGGGACCTGTCTTACAGCTTACACTGCTTAAATTTGATAGCAGACAATACAAAATCAGTTTTGCATTATGGGTCTAAATTTTCTTAGAAAAAATCGCACCCAATCAATTTTTTATCATAATATGACTTTTTTTTCTTTTTTTCTCTATAATGAATATACATTTATTAGTTAATTAATTACGTTTTAAAGTTATCTTAGAAGAGCATATAATGCTTATAGCGATTTGCCATCTCCATATACATATGTACACTAACTATAATTCTCATAAACTAATAAACGTGTTAAAAAAAATAAATGTATTGGAATATCCAAGAGGATCACTGTCACCAGTTATGGTAAAAAAACTTTGTCAGGACAATAATAATCTGTACAAATGAGTTAGAAGACAGGGTGTTTTAGATCTATGTTATATGAAACACAACTTAGATGGCTAAGAGGTGAATAAGGATAAGTGAACCCTAGCATCAGAACCCAGAACCCTGGCACTAGCTAGAACCATTCCAATGATATATAAAAAAATTACAAATAAAAGCACCAATCGTATGTGGTAGAATTACACTTGTACCTACCTTTTCCACCCTCAGAATTGATAAACTTTGCTTTATTTTAGGATTTAAAAATTCTCCATTTGTACCATCTTTAGCAGATATCAACATCCTCCAGTTTCTGACTTACCAGTGACATTCTATTGGCAAGTAAAGCCAAGATTTCCCATATGTGTACACCCCTATTAAACCCTCAGCAGTGATGTGATGTTAGCATTTCAGTGTCAAATTACAGTTGGAGCCCCAGGAACGCCGCACGTTGGTACCCCTCAACTCCATCCTCATCAGCTGTGACATCTTAAAGACATTACATAACCCGTGCTTGTGATCCATTGTTTCTCTT